GGAAACTTGGTAGTGATAAATTCCCATATTAAAAAAGAAGTAGGAGCTCTAGCTGGTTTGGCTCAGTGGATAGAGTGTTGGCCTGCGGATCAAAGGGTCCTGGGTTTGATTCTGGTCAAGGACACGTACTTTGGTTGCAGGCTCCTCCCCGGCCCTGGCCTTGGCCCTGGTCAGGGCTTGTGCAAGAGGCAACCAATGGATGTGCTTCTCCCACATTGATGTTTCTCTCTTCCACTCTCCCTAAACATCCATGGAAAAATATCCTTGGGTGAGGATTAACAACAACAACAACAACAAAAAGTAGGATCTCAAATAACCTAACTCTGCACCTCAAGGAACTAGAATAAGAACAAACTAAGCCCAACGTTAGCAGAAGGAAGAAATAAAGCTTAGAGCAGAAATATAGAAAATAGAAAAAGACTAGAAAAATCAACAAAATAGGATTGGGTAAAAAAACATGGCATTTACATGCAATGAAATATTATTCATCCATAAAAAGAATAAAATCTTGTCATGTGCTACAATATGGAAGAACTTGAGGACAATTTGCTAAAGAAGACAGAAGGACAGATACTGCATGATTCCACTTATATGAGTTATGTAAAATAGTCAAATTCATGGAAGTAGAATGTACAATGTTGGTTGCTAGGGGCTGGGGAAAGGGAGAAATGGAGTTGCTGTGCAATGGGTATAAAGTTTCAGTCACGCAAGATGAAAAAGTTCTAGATATCCGTTGTATAATGTTATCCTTGAGTTAACAATACTCTTAAAAATTTGGTGAGGTTTGATCTTATGTTATGTATTTTTTACTACAATTAAAAAACTGAGTGCACCTCACAATAGCAATCAAAGAAATGCAAATAAAAAAATTACCACCTGTCAAATTAGTAAAGATTTTAAAATGCTGGTGATAGTTCCCTGAGGCAGGCTCTCCCATTTACTGCTAGTTACAGTATAAATTGGCAGGCACAGCCGTTTTTAAAAATGCTTTGGAAATATGCATCAAAGGGTCTTAGAAATGTTTATACCCTTTGATGTAATAACGTTACTTGTAGGAATCTGTCCTCATGCAGTAATAACAAATGTAAATATGTTTATATTTATAAGACCAAAAATTAGAAATCTTCCAGACATTCCATAGGGGAATAGTTAATAAATGGTGATAGATATGATGAAACAACAAAAATGTTATGAAGTCTTAGAGACAAGAGAAAACTGCTCCGAATAGAATATTAAGTGAAAAAATGCAGGATAAGAAACTGTGAATGCATCAAACAGACTGTCAAACCACAGTGGGAAGGCTGGGGAGGGTTGGGGGGCAGGAGCGAGGAGTGTAAGAGATCAACCAAAGGACTTGTATGCATGCATATAAGCATAACCAATGGGCACAAGACACTGGGGGGTAAGGGAGGCCGGGGAAATGTCAAGGGGGGGGGGGGAAGGAAACATATGTAATACTCTTTGTAATACTTTAAGCAATAAAAAAAGGAAAAAGAAACTCTGAATGGTGGTTATAGACAGTATTATCACTACTATGTCAACAATTAAACATAAAAAAGATTAAGAACAAAAAATGTTATATGGGGGTTGTTTCTGGGTAATGAGACTATAGATGTCTGAAATAAGATTTTTAAAAAATCCACCCCCTCCACATTTTCCAAATTTCTGACAAAGAGCTCATATTACTCTCCCAGTCAAGAAAAACAGGTATAATTTAAAAATGAAATGTGATCTAGGTTTCATAAAAAAGATGATCAGTTTGTCCAAAAATATTTATTTTAATATATTACAAGACTAAATTACTCTTTAGTCTTCGCAAACATAAACATCTAAGGTAGAATGCAGAGTGACCAAAAATTAGACTCTTCATCCCAAAAATACTACTGAAAGGTATTTGATTGATTTTTTTTAATGTATGATAAGATAAACATAAACTCTTTCACAAAATCTTTTAATTCTTACAAGGGGTAGACATAACAGAGAGAGAAATCAAGAGAAAACCTTACATTATTTATCTGTGTAGTAAACATATGCCCTTTTATTGTCCAAGGAACAGCATAAACTCCCCCTGGGGTGTCGTGGGTGGGTAATCCGATTCAGGAGAGTGGTTTAGGGGAGGCACAAGTGGAATGGCAAGCAGGGAGGAAAAAAGAGGGTCTGCCCTGGCAGCCAGGTCGGCCAAACCCCACTCTGGCTTTCAGTGGGTTGGCAGATGGCACAGCCAGATTGTCCCACCAGCCTGGAGCTACTAACTAAAACAATTACATTCAAGAAGAGATAAATTTATGCTACAATCAGATTCCTAATATTAGCTGAGGAAGATGGGGTGATATTATAATTGGCTTAAGTTGTGAGCAAAAAAAACTCTAGTCAGGGATGGGCCGAGAAAAGTATAAGCTGGCATCCCTAAGGACCCAAAAACTGACTCTTTGAGAAAATCAAATTTATGTCCCACCACTCTGCTCTCCTTCCTGCCCTGCCATTTAATCTCAGATGAGATGTGTTCTTTTACCTTCCCTTATATATATTTCCTTGAAATCAGAGAAAGCAAATTTGGGGAATTTGGGTTGAATCTAGAAAATATATATGATTTTGGTGGGCCATGGTGTGTGTGTGTGTGTGTGTGTGTGTGTGTGTGTGTGTATATATATATATATATATATATATATATATATATCCACACACAAATCACAAAACAAAAATCTTGAATAACTTGACAACAGTTAAAAATTGAGAGATTTGTCATAAAAAGAAAGATTTGGGGCTTTTAAAAAATTAAATTTAGCATTGGTGAGTTGATATTGTCAAATGACAACAATAAGCTGGAGATGAGTGACATATGCCCCTTTCAGGTGTCATGGGCTCACCAATTTGCTGCAGTCCTCACTTAGCCCATTTGCATTTCCATTCCTGGCCCCTGCACACATTCCTGAGGTTTTCATGTCTCAGTGATTTACAACACTGGTGCGCCAGCTCTGAGCTGCCTAATATAAAAAGCTTCCTCTGATACAAAAGTCATCCCAAGCAACCCTTTCAGCAAGTAACTCTGATAAAGACAGATCCAGTTAAGCACTATAAACGTGCTCAAAGATGTGCTGGGAAAGTAGAAAGAAAGATACCCCTCTGGAAGTCAGGGGTGCCATGGGCAGGCAGTAGCATAAAGGGCCTTAAAGACTAGGACTTCTTATGGGAAACTCACAGCCTAGTGTTTGGAACTTAGTAGGAGGTTAATAAATGTTTGTTTCCATCCTCCTAAGAGCAGATGCAGAGCACAGCAAGGAGGAAATAGAGCCGAAACAGTGTAATGCAATGCACAAAAGCACAGCATGCCCAGAGAGGAGGAGGGAGGAAGTAATTGTAGCCCAGAGAGCAGTAGAAGCAACAGAACAAGCCTAGAGAAGTTAGAATGACAGAGCCAGGTACTATAATAACGGGGACTACATAATTGTGACATGATTCTGACAGATCTTTGCTAGCCACACATCCATATGGTAAGCAGGAGCATAGAGTAGATAGATGAAAACAGCATGAAGCAAGCAGAAAACCAGCCAGAAATTCACACCAAGACACTGGTCATGGGAAAAAATTCAACCCTTTTATGAAAGATTGTTGATGAAAACTATAACCATATGTATAAAAATACAGAGAATAGGGAACTTTTGCAGAATAGCTATATTTAGTTGAAGAATAGAATTTCTATGCTTAGCTGAAATAAGTTGTTTAAAATTATGTTTGGTATTGTCTTGGGCTCACCTTTGGTGAAGCTTTAGTTACTTTGGAATCATTTATTTCTAAAGCCTCAATTTAAAACAATAGTTACTAAGTGAAGTACAATTTCCTGAAGCATCATGTCACTACAGTAATGACCTGTCAGAGAATGTTAGACAAAGGGTGCTGGAATGCGGGCTGGAAGGTTATAGATGCAATTCTTTTCTTCCTGGCCCTTTCTTAGGGTCATAGCCAACCAGTCACTGTTTATGCATACGGTAGCTTTTGCAGTATTTATTTCTTTAAATATTTAATAGTCTTGAGAGACAGTGACTGGCAGTAATATGTAGAGTTTCTAGCATGTTTTGAATGCTTAATAAATGGTAACAATAAAATCCTGCATGATGAAAACAGCAGTCAGTACACCTATGACACTCTAAACTATTTTAAAGCCATAGAAATAACTATTTAGAAAAGTATAAAAAGCAAATATAGTGCATTGACTAGAGTAATAAAGAAACATTTTATATTCACTAGAAAGTTCACCCAGGTAATTTCCTCTTAAGGAATTGAGGGAAAGTATGGGAAAAGTGGATAGAGCATGGATTTAAAAATAAAACAAAAACACAACAAACTTTTTTTAAAAAAACCATGTGGAAACCTGCTGTGGACGAACCCGGGAGCTCCATCCTGTACAGTGGCGGGGTGCTCCAAGCGCCTTCAAAACCCCCTCTAATGCAGCACCCACTGCACAGCCCCCCCACTTTTTAGACATCTTCAAGTTCGGGAGGAGTTCGGCTCTGGGAGCGGAAGCACGCGGGTGCGTGTGTGCAACACCCCCAGACGTGAGCCGGGACCCCGTGACTCCGGGAAACAAACGCCCTCACCCCAGAGGAAGTTCCTTATGACGCCGCAGCCGGGAACTCGGTTACCTGGGAGCCTGACCGCCGCCGTCGGCATCCGGCGCCGCCCGAATCGGCCCGAGAACTCCTTTAAGTTTAGGGAGGGCAGCGAGGAGGGAAAAACAGAACTGCTCCTTTAAGAACTTCCTTTCCCTTTTACTCTATGTTTACATAACACGGGGGCCGAGCCGCCGCGGGGCCCGGCGGGGGAAGGCGGGGAGTGGGCGCGGGAGGCCCCACGCGCCGGGGGCGGGGGCGGGGGCGCCGCGCGGGCCGGGGATGCCGGTTCCCGGCGGGGGGCGGGGCGGCTCCCACCTGCCCGCGCGGCGGGGCGGCTCCGCGGTCCTGCCCCCGCCCCTCCCCCGCCGCTGCCCCCGCCCTCCCGCCCGCGCTGGTTCCCTTCCTCCCTCCCGCGGGGCTTCGGCGGCGGCGTTCGGCGCGGGCAGGTCCCCCTGCTGCCCGGTCCCATTCGTTGCCTCGTCTCTGGCTCGGGGCGGCCGCGACTCGCGGAGCTCCCGGGAGCCCGGCGGGGCAGCCGCGCAGCCACGACGGAGCAGCCTCGGGACTGGCCGCCCCGCGCCCCCTTCGCCGCCGTGCCCTTCCCCGGCGCGCTCACCCCCTTCTCGGGATGGGATTGTAGCGGCGGCGCGGACTCGGCGGGGATCGCGGCGGAGGAGGCGGCGGCGGCCGAGCGGGGCTCCATGTTTTCCCCCGGCCAGGAGGAGCACTGCGCCCCCAACAAGGAGCCGGTGAAATACGGGGAGCTGGTGGTCCTGGGGTGAGTTCGGGCATCCCCGACCTCGGGGCGCCGGGGGCGGTTGGCAGGCGCTCCGGGCTGGGTGGCCGCCGGGCGCCCGCATCCCCGAGCGGGGCCGGTGTGGGGGCTCGGGCACTCTCTGGGGACCCCGAGGCTCTCTCTGGGGACCCCGGGGCGCTCTCTGGGGACTCCGGGGCGCTCTCTGGGGACTCCCGGGCGCTGGGGACGGCGGGAGCGGCTCGGGAAGCTGGGACGGCGGCCGCTGAGGCGGGAGCCGGGATGCGCTCTCCGCACTGAGGACGACGGCAGAGCGAGTGGGGGAGCGGGGCCGCCCCCGGGAGGCGGCGGCGGGGACTGGGGCGACCCCACGCTCCGCGGGGCGCGGGGCTAGGGGACGGAGCCTGTGGTCAAACCGCGGGGGCCGGAGCTCGACTTCCCCGAGCGCGCCGGGCCGCGGGGGGTTGGCAGGGGCCGGGCTGAACGGCCACCGAGGTCTCGGGCTCTTCGCTGTGTCGCACGAGACCCCCGATGGGCGGAACGGAGAGGCCCGGAGGCCCGGCCCCCGAGTCCCGGGTCCCCGCTCTCCGTGGGCCGGGGCCCCGGCTCGGCCGCTGCCCGGGGCTGAGTGTCTGCGCGGTGGCGTCCGCGGGCAGCCCCGCATATTGTTATGGTGACCGCGCGGCCGCCGCAGCCGCGGGCGTGAACTGTCTGTGACCCGGCGGGCGGGCGGGCGGGCCCTGGGCTGTCCGCGCCGGGGCGTCCCGGAGGGGCAGGGACGCGGTGGCCCGGGCCGCACCCCCTGCGTCCCTCCGCCCCTGGCCGCTGCCGCGCAGATGTCCTCCGGGCGGCGGGGAGCTCGCCAGCCTCGCCCGCCGCGCCTCCCTCTCCGCTGGTGAAAACCACATTGGAAGATAGTCATTATCTGCGATCGTTAAACGGCAGCAATTAGAGACTTCATCCACTTCCTGAGTTTCCTGGTGACATTTCTATTGTTTACCCTTCCTACCCCGGGAGGGAGGCTTCGCGGGATGGAAGCCGGATCCAGGGGGCAGTGAATGGGGAGCGGAATGGAGACGGGGAAGTGCGGGACACTCGGGGGAAGGGGTGACCCAGTGGGTTGAGGACTGCAGGAGAAAGGATTATTTTTTTTTCCCCTTTGGATGTGTCACCCCCGGGCACCCGCGCTTTTGTCCTCCTCTGTTGAAAGACCTGTGTTCAGAACATCCTGGGTGCTCATAAGTAGGCTTCGCACACATGTGAGAAATCGTGGGTACGGGAAAACTCAGAACTCCGAAAAAAGTATTTGGTAACTGAACACCTTGAAGTAAGTGCCGACTTAAAAATAACTGTAGAGAGAATTTTTAAGAGAAGCTTCCAGATACAGCGCAGCCCAAAGTTGTCTAGTCCTCCTCACTTGGTTGCTACAGTATTAAGTGCAACATGATTGGAAACCTCTCGGCCTCTTTTGAAGCTGTGCGCAGGGAAGCGTTTTTTCTCACCTGCAACCAATTGCACTTAAAAGACAGATGTTAGGGTTCACTGGGAGGAGGGAGGGATGACAGGAAAAAAGCCAGAGTTTAGCTTGTCTTATGTAACCTCCAGCCCAACCTAATTTTGTGGAGTTTGGTTTTGTTTCTGTGGCTGGCTTCAAAGTATGTTTAACATTGTGAACCTGACAGGAAAGATTAACTTACGCCAGAACTTTATTTCATTATTTCCTTTTGAGGAAATCATTGCTGAGATCTTTTAGAAAAAGCAATGTGTGAGTGGGCCTGGAGAGGTTTTGTGTTCATAGCTGGAAGTGCAGGGCATTTCAAAGCCCTGAAAAGGATTTATAACCTGGATTGTCCTGGTATCACAGGCTTATGCTAAAGCAGGCTATGTAAATGCATGGCCAATTGCCTGTGCTCTGTTCTTTACTAATGCTTTTCTGGAAGACTCTGAGTATGATATAATTGCCACTTACCAGACACTCAGCAGTTATGTATGCACCTACTGTGTGCCAGCACTGTGTAGGCATTGAGGATTAGCAGTGAACAAGGAGCTTTCATTGTAGTGTGGTGTGGCAGGCATAAACAGAAAAAAACCCCCACATGTAAACAAATGAATAATAAATGACAATCAGGGGTTGCCAAGTGCTCAACAGAAGTGGGTTAACTTAGGAAATGTCTGCTCTAGGCAGGTGTTGAGATCTTTAGCTAGGAGGTCAGGGCAGGTCTCTGAGGAAGTGAACTGTGAGTTGAGACCAGACTGCTAAGAAGATGCCAGTTTGTTTTTGAATACTTGAGAGGAATTATGGTATTTTCCTTTTCTTTTTTGAGAGTAGGTTTTTGACTTTCTTGCAGTTTTGAACACATTGAAGAATGCTGGGCAGGGAAGTGGGGGCAGTGAGATGATAGGTAATAGTTTTAAAAGACCCTTAGGACTTGAAACTGCCTTCCCTCGTAAAACAAAACAGTCAAATAAACAATATCAACTTTGCATGCCTGAGCATCTAGGACATAAATATTGGTAAATAGAGAATTTCTAGTAGGTTTTCTTATTGATAAAATTAATCTTGAGATCCCCAAAAGCTCAATATTCATAGAAGCTTTTGCTTATAACATGCAGTACCTTCTTTTTTGGAAGCTGTTGTGGATACTCCTTTTTTGTTCTCTTCTAAGTTTCATAGTAAAATGTCACTAAGAAATCCTGGAGTGCAGACCAAGGAACTATATATGTATGTATCTATCTGTGAGGAGCTATATTATGTATGTGTCTCTGTCCATATAGAAATAGTTCTGTGTCTTTTCATGTGTTACACAATATTAAGGGAATTTCCAGGTAGGTAGGATTTTAGTATGGTCATCGCTTTCTTGGCAGGTAAGTGGAATTTACTTATTTCATGACTCCAACCAGAAAATGTATCATAGTCACAACTCTTTGTTGTATCCATGACGGAATTAGAGGTAGAGAAAATGATTGGTCTGTCACTGGTTTAAACCAGGCTACACTGTGAAAGTTGGGGAAGTGTGTCAGGATTTGAGAGGCAGTCAGTGTAGTGGGAAGACCATGAAGGTAGTGGTCAGGAGACCTGGGTTTTATTCCTGCTTTCTTGCAGACTGGCTTTGTGGTATTGGCTTAGTCCCCCACTTTGTCTCTGTTTCTTTAGCACTAATGACAGATGATCAACAGCCTTCCTGGTCTGTATCCTGTAATACTGCTCATGGTCTGAAAAGTGGAAAATATGTAATTGACATATTCTAGGTAACCCGGCTTTTGTTGATTTTGTATATTCGTGAGCTGATGGTGCTAGAATTTGAATGGGAACTTCGTTTAAAAAGCAGAAAAGACCAACACTGTGATTGCTTTTTATGAAGTAGATATACAAGACATTTTTTTTTTTTTTTTTTTTAGTTGTAGTGGTATACATATATATGGCTCATTGGTGTTAGGTTATACACGAGGGCATTTAAATTTGGTAAAATTTTCTGTTCCATGTTTACGAAAGGCATTGGTGTTTTGAAATTAAGTAGGCTGAAATAGCTAGAATAAGGAAGAGATAATCTGATAGAATTTTAAAACTGAAAAGAGCCTAAGAAATTATGATACATGTTTGCCCTTTTATTTTGCTGACGGAGAAACTGAGGCTCTAGGAAGGAAGGAGATTTTTTTCAAGTTCATAGCTGAGCTGGGGCACTACACTGCCAGGTCACTTCAGTGCTGTCAGTTCCTCAGAGCTTCAGGGTTTTATTGTAAATTACATGAGGGGAACTGAATCTCTTTTGGATTCAATTTGAAGCATGTAGTGCTCTTGCTGACTAATGGCCCTTCATGGTTTTTGGGAAAATATTGCTTATACTTTGAGTTTTTCTAACCTCACCGTTGAATGGATAGTGTATTTTTGCAAGGCTTTACTTTTCATTTGATGTTTCACAAATGTATTTTTATTGGCTCTTTCAACCGAGGGTTTTTAACCTAGGGTCCACAGATGCAATCCAGGGAGCCCTTGAACATGGATGGGGGAAAATGGCATCTCTGTTTTCACGATAACTCAAACTGAAATTTAGCATTTCACCAAGTTATGGGAACAGGCAACAAGCAGACTTGCTGCTAGATTTGCTACTTACTGCATGAATACAGAGTACAAATACTGCTTTACCACAATTTAAAACTATCTTGATAACTGAGTAGAATCGACTTCACTTGTTATCCTTTGCATTTTACTTTATGCCCTTAAAACGTTTTTCTTAGAAGGGCTCAGCAGGTTTTACCAGACTGCCAGTGGGATCCTTGGCACAAAGATGGGTTAAAAACCTCTAAAAATGAAGGCTTATACATACGACAGACAATGAAGTATTTTAGTAGAAACTGACCAGGGCCCACATAAAGGTCAGGGAGTACCTGCCTTTTTTCCTTTGGATGGTGCAGCATTCTGTCAAAGAAGACAAAGAGGACTACTGCTTGAAAAGTTTATGATCTTTACTTCTTTTAATAAGCAGCTCCTGATGTCTACGTGCTGTTTTTGTTTTAACCTTGGCATTTTGCCTTAACTCCCCCTCCTTTGGAGTAATAAGAAACCTTAAAATATTCTCTAACACTTTCCCTTTTCTCATCCTCTCTAATTTGGGCCCAAAGACATCAGACCCTACTATCCTTTGTAAACTAAAAGAGGCCCTTGATTTTTTTTTTTTTTTTAATAAAACAAAACCTTTACTGTCACTCAGTGTCTCTTGGCGTGTGGGGTGATCTGAAGAGCTCAGATCTGTCGGTGTGGATAGAGTGTCTAATTCTGTAGGCTGTTATGGGTCATGATGTCCCAGCTTCGGGTTGCTATATATTCCTTTACTAACTTTAGCCTTGTTTGGGGTGTGTGGCTGTCTGTATGGTTTCTTGTCTGCCTTGCTCAGATTTGTTTCTCTAATACACCAAGACTGAAGTCTTCACTAGGACTTTTCATTTTGGGTTGTATTTTATCATGCAAGCAATATTGGGGGATGTTTTATGTAAACAAAAATAAAAACCAGGTTGATTCAGGTCTT